AGAAAATCATCTGCTACACATTCTGGACTGCGATAAACTACAACTAATTCAATATCTTGCCTTCGGCATTTCAACTTACATCTCACCAGTTCACATGTCCCTGAAACATGTGCTACTGTCTCAGCTAATCTTATGGTTAGGCTACTTTTCGTGTACACAATAACCCCGCCTCCCCTTCGGTTTAATCTATCAGCCCTACTGGTTACGAAACCAGTCAATTGGATTTCACTACCTAATACTTCTGACGTTAACCAAGTTTCCGAGACAGCGATAACGTCCGGTTTTTCTTTATCCACCACTGACTTCAGCTCCGCCATTTTATTTAGTAGGCTGCGAGCATTTGTATAGCACACTTTTAAGTCTGTGGAGAGCTTTCCCTTGCCACCCAGAGTGTCTTGGGGATCGTTTTGCTCCGAACTTTTACAATCTGAAAACCCTTAAGAACGAGGTTTCTTTCACCATTTTGGCGACGCTCGTTTATTTCCGCTTCTGCAGCCCTTCTCTTAATGCGATCAGCTAGGCTGAGGTCCTCACGGACATATATTCCGGACCCAATCAGTTTACGTGAATTACTTAGAACCAGGTTCCTTTCTTCCACCGTGTTGAATGTAACCTTTAGGAGGCGGTTTTTCTGAGGACTTTCGGAATCCACCTTTTTTCCTATTCTATAAAGCTTACAAATACTAACTCCTGAAACTGTATCTGGGAGTAGTTTACTTAATGATGTCTTAATATGATTGAGATCATGTTCAAATCTTGCCTTTGGTTTAGTGTCTGAAGATTCTCTTATCTTATGAAAAATGACTGATCTCTCAGAGAGATCTGTCTTTTCACGCGGTGAGGATTTTTCTTCTGATAAAGTCCCTTCCAATGTCTTGCTGACCAGCTGCGTTTTGCCCACAGCCTTTTTCTTCTTATTTTTTTTTCTTCTTACCGGAGTCCATTTGTCACCACTCAGAACAGCCACACCTGGACTATGTGGAACGGTGACAGTTTTATCCGGATCTTCTATTTCGACTAGGGGTGTATGACTGCCGATGTCAATATCAGGCGACACTTCATTTCTCGTTAATGTCAACGGAGATTTCACGTTCCCGTCAATCGCAGTCAGGTGTTTAATGGGTCCAGTAGCAGCACTTACTACACTGACACATTCTTCATCGTCAGTACTCCTGTTATCAGTGCTTCCACCATCGTTTTTCTTGCAGGCCAAAGCCAATAGGCCCATAGCCTCCTGTATTAGTACCTTTTTATCCGTACAGCAGAACACACAAAGCCAATGCGAGTTAGGCTTCGAGCATCTTTTGTAAGCCGTCGGACTTAGTCGTGTACACATTTTGTGATACCACTTTTTACAGTCGTCACACTGCATTCCCTCCTCAACGGAGAACAAACAATTTGGTTGCCCAGATTTGTGAGTCTTACCAACCATTGTAATTCGATTTAAAAGGTTTAAAAACAAAAAACGATAACAATGTGAACACAGGTCTTAGTCAAGGACTAAAAACAGGTACCCAGGACAAAATGTAGCAAAAAATTTCAAACTTTAACCAAAGAACTCTTAGTTAAAGTAGACCAAGAATGCTTTTTAGTGCAATAAGTACCAAAAGCAAGTATAATCACAACAAGTACAAAAATCACTGCCCTTTTTGAAATTAGCGCGGTCAAGGTTTGCAGCAAGCGCTCTACGAGTCTACTTTATAACAAGGATAAACTTAATGAGTTGGGAAGCATGCTGTGCTCCAAAAAATGTTGTAGTTTATAGATCGTGCCTGTAGAAATGGAGTGCACCTGCTCATGCAGAAATATATTATTATTATTAACACGTCAAAACGTAACGTGGTCCATCTCCGATACGATGCAGACTACGGCTACAACTTAGGAGACTCCGTTCTAGAAGTACCCAAGTTGAAAAAGATTTAGGAGTGGTGGAACCCTGCTATTTGAAGTTTTACACTGTAACAAAAATGCTTTTCGAGCAAACCTTGCAATAGCAACGTTGAAGCACATTTTAGCCAGTTTGACGGCAGAGCTGTAGTGGCATTGGACCATAACCACACAATCCTCAAAGCTGAACACGAGACTACTCGGAAAATAGATATTCAATATTTAACGCGGAGAAATACCTAACGATGGAAAAGACGGGAACAATGAATTGAATCAATGAGAGTTGATCGTTCGGCATGGTCCGGCCATGCAGGCGTGGTCCCTGCTGAATATGACCTTATATCTCTTATTCATATTGAATATATTGTTCTGTCTCTAGCCCAAGCTTGTTCTCTATCATGTATTGGTAATTGTTACAATATAGTGAGTTGGTGTACATGATGATGTGACTTCCACGTAAGATCTTATAGATTAGGGAGTTATATCATGACAAATCTACAATCATAGAACTCGGTCTATTATTGGAGCAGTACTAATATCATAGTGGACCATAATTTTGCATAACTTTCCATATAATTTCCAACGGTTTTATTTGTCTCAATTTAGAGTGCGGAAATATAGTTTTTCTCTCCTCATTCCAAAAGGATAAGGACACTCTGGAACGAATTCGACGACAAGTCACGAAATTGTTTTAGGACTCAAGTTCGAACCTTATGAAGAGCGCATTCAATCAATAAACATTTACCCATTAGAGTACAGGCGTCTTAGAGGTGACCTAATGACATACAGCATCTCAAATACTTCTGGACATCCCTTTAAAAATCTACTTAAGTTTCGCGCCGACAAGAACCTAAGAGGAATCACCCTGAAGCTGGAGACAGCTCAGCAGAACGGACTGTAGACACACCTTTTAACCCTTAAGAGTAGTCAGATGCCGGAATTCGCTGCCGTCTAAGCTCGTCCAAGAGACTTCTCAGGGTTTTCAAACTGTAAACATTCGGAGAAAAACGATCTTCAAACCGCTCTAGGCGGTAATGGAAAATTTTCCACAGGATTAAAAATGTGCCACACAAAAGCTTGCAGCCTTCTGAATAAAATGGCGGGGCCCAAGACAATCTTGGATAGAGAAAAACCGAATGATATTGCAGTCTCAGGAACATAGTTAGCGTCAGAAGTGTTCGATAATGAAATTCAGTTGACTGGTTTTTTATCCAGTAGCGTTGATACACTAAACCCCGGAGGAAGCGGGCTTGTCCTGTACACGGAAAGTACTTTAACCACACGAACAGTTGAAACAGTGGCACATGATTCAGGAACATGTGAACTGGTTGCGTTTCAAGCTGAGATGTAGGCGGCAAGATACTGAATTAGTTGTTGTATATCGCAGTTCAGAATTTGTTATAGACGACTCCTTTCTTAGCAAACTTAAGTCCTGGTGTAGTACGGACAAAAGCCTTATGGTAGGTGACGTGTATAAACTGGGTAAACTTAGAAGTGAGGCCATCGATAACGTCATTCGATTGCAAACTGTTAGAAACATCGATTGCATTACTTTTATTCAAACACATTAGAGGTTCCACAAGATATAATTTACGAAGCTCCTCTTCTCCTCTCCATTTAGTCTTCACACATGGTGATGACATCGGCCAAATGACCTTCCTCCCACCACTAGAAAGAGGCGGTCTCGCAGTCATATCATTCAAATTCATGGCCGAACTTTCCTGTCAAACAGTTGAGCTCACACATCCTAATATATGGAAGACAGACATGGAGGCAATCAACTCCTCAGCATCGGCTGAGAACTGAGAAATCAAGTCAATGGCATCAGCACAAGGAGCATGGACTCATTTCAGGCAGATATACGATCAGGAAACTCAACCATGCATACCCTGGACAGTCGCAAAAAGAAGAAGAAGCACGGCCATCTCTGGATAGGCCGGCATATTCGATGTTTATTAAGACAAGAGAAGAAATGTTGGAATGTTGCTATCAGTCTTGGCACAGCAGGTACCATGGAACGCTGCAGATCTGTAAGAAACATGTGTATAATTAAAATTCGGGAAGCTCAGAGAAAATATGTGATGCGATTGGCACAATCTGCACTCAAGCAGCCCAAGAGGATATTCTCGTACATAAACTACAGAACAAGGATGCATTGTTGGATCGCCAACCTAATTGAAGAAGGAAGTGAATCTGAAATGATAGAGGAAGATCAGGAAAGAGCAGAGGCTATGGCTGAATATTTTGGTTCAGTTTTCACTCAGGAACCTCCTCTAGACAAAGAACCAGACCAAACTACAGAGTCAACAAACCAGCTGCTCACCGTGGACTTCGACCAAAACGATGTGCTTAAGGCTCTTAGCACCCTAAACATGGAGAAGTCAACAGGACCAGATGAACTACACCCTAAAATCTTGAGACATATTGCCCAATATATCGCGGCCCCACTGACTGTGATATTCAAAATGTCACTTGACCAAGGTGTGTTACCTATGGACTGGAAGGACGCAATCGTCACTCCCATACATAAAACAGGTTCACGACAAGTTCCAACGAATTACAGACCCGTAAGCCTCACTAGTGTGGTAATTAAAATACTGGAAAGAATAATCAAACGGACCATAACGGCATTTATGGAAACCAATAAATTGCTAAACATGGAACAACATGGTTTAAGAAATGGTTTATCTTGTACAACAAGCCTCCTTATAGCAAGGGAATTTCGGATAAATGCGCTAGACAACGGAAACTCAGTGGATGTTGTCTACATCGATTTCAGTAAGGCTTTTGACAAGGTGCCAACTAATAGACTGCTCAGTGTTATTTATCGTGTATGTATCTGTGCCTTGATGACCGATGTGCATCACAACACACTTGGAAGTATTTATCAGCAACTGCCAGGTTTGAGATCATTCAGATAATTTCTTCAGGTTATTTGGAGTTCTAAGCTACCATCTTCACAACAGACACTCATATAGTTGGAAACTACCATGTTCATTACAGCATTCACAACCTTTAAAGTTTTTTCATGGGTAACAAATAACGTGAAGTTATCTTATTTTGTATTTTAAATTTGAGTTTGAATTTAGGAAAACTGGGTCAAAAACGCTCTCACTTTAAAATCTTGCGCTGTCTCGCCATGGCTGGCGTATTTACAATGTTGGCAGTTCGCCGACTGTTCAGTAAAAATATCGTTTTAAGACATTTGAATGCTACTAAGTCTGTCTCGTGTCCAAGTGCCAGATGTATTTCAACAGTTGAAGGCGCCCAGAAAACTTACAAACCAAATTTGGCTCTCCGTGTTTCTGATGAAAATGACTTGACTGATATAGATAGGTTTCTGCGCAAACAAAGAATTAAGGGTGCTTTGTACAGCCGCGACGAAAATGAGCAGGCTACAGAACGTTTTTGGAGTCGGATTCTAAAAGGTACAGTACTTATTATATTCATAGTAAAGCAGCTGGGGATATGGACTTGATCGAAAGATATCTAAATATGAGAGTCAAATTAGGACTTCATAATGACCCGGAAAAGGTTTTAAAAGATATGCGAGGTGCTGGATTGACGCCTAACTCCGTAGGTTCAGTTTATCAAGTAATGTTGCTTAGTGGATATACGCCTCCTTTATATCTCAAAGTTGTGCTGTCGGAGATATGAATCAAACAAAGTACCCTGTCAATATATAACATTAATTTCAGCTTTTGCTTGCGTATGCTCCGAGATGCTGGATTCAAGCCCAATCGTTACATTTTTTCCCAGATTTTACACGGTTACGTGAAAGCCGGGTAAGTGTTAACTGTTCACACGGTATTTGCTCATGATAAGCTCTAAATTATATAGATAGTGTTTTCTGCTCTGATTATGTTATCACCTGTCTGCTTGTTTTCGGTGTTCGCTGCACCTCCTTGAATCCAGAATCCCGAAACCTTTTATCATTACATATTTTTACATCTGATACTGTCACTGCTTTCATTACTCTGAAGTGTCTGAATAATCTAATACATCTGCGATAACATGGTGTAACAACCCTAACTGATGTATGTGACAGGTATTACTTTGTATATGGCTGGTTATAGTTTAAGGATCTAGGTAGTAAGCCAACCTGTGATAGTGATTAGAATAATCGTTTTACAACATCCAGTAATTTTATCTTATGGTAAGCAGGGTGTTGGTATGAGTGACTTAAGTAAACGCTATGGTACCCTTCCTGACCAGTAGTTTGTAGTTAGTCATTATTGACGCTTTAGGTAAAAATCTAAAAATAGAAAGAAACTTAACGTCCTGGCTAGAACAGAAGCCAAGGCACAGGCCGGATACATTGGAACGATTGAGTAAAGAGGAGCATTACAACTGACAGGCGAGAATATCTAGAAGACCTAGCAACTGCTGCAGAAAACTAGAAGAGGTAATGTGAAACAACTATATGGCAACGAAAAAACTAGCAGGGGAATGTAGTAAACCAGAGTGACTAGTCAAAAATTAGGTAGGCAACCCAATCATTGAGATTCAGGAGTAGTGGAATACGTAGTTAGAGCTCCCGGACAGACCAGTTTTTTAAATTCAATCAGTCAGTAACAACGTAGAACTTCGTACGTACGTACATCAGTTCGAGTTGCCACACCACATTAGCACAGAGATGCAGTGGTCAACTCAAATCCCGTAGTGGTAGAGGTGGTAAAAGTATAAGCAGTAATCGGGAAGATTAGTGTTTGGAGATGTTACTTAAAGAGTATAATCCAGTGAAATAAATTTGGGAAGAGACAAGGAGAATTCAGATTAGAATTTAGGAGAACACAAAGAGTTGATTCACCTGCGCCATTACAAACGATTTTGAGCCATGTCATTCAGGGTCTCTAACCATCGGTCGCTATCATCTCGCGGTCCCCAACCAGGTAGTCTACACCTACGAACATGGCATAGTCCACTTGTCAGTGACTTCATGGACTTGTGCCATGTTTTGGTCTGGCCGCCCCTAGCTTTCTTCCAACCTACTCCTATACCACTGAACATCGCACGTCGAGGCAGTCGGTCGTTGGGCATACGTAACACGTGTCCAAGCCATCTCAACTGATGAAGTTTCACTACGTCATCAATTGATTTGCCATCCTTACCTAGTACCCGTTTCCTAACAACTGCATTACTTACTCGATGGTCCCATGATATACGAGCAATATTTCGAAGACACCTATGATCAAATACTAGTAACCTACGAATATCCTCTACTCTTACCGGCCATGTTTCGCTGCCATAAAGTAGGACGAAACGATCTGCTGCGTAATAAACACGTCCTTTGGTTGATAGACGGATATCTCGCCTACGCCATGAATAACGCAAGTTGGTAAAAGCTAGTCGAGCCTTCTGTACATATTTGGTTTTTTATGTTTATTCTACCAAAGATAAAACTATTGGCTATTGTCTTCACTCCTAACAGTATATGGCTTGTAATACAGCATATCTATAATTGTTTAGTTGCATCATCGGCTGGTCTTTCGACGGATGTTCTACTAGTCGATCTTGCTTCCTAATTGGTACAATCCATCGCGCCTCTAGTGACGTTTTATGTTGATCCACAAGCATATCATCTTAGTGTTAAATCGTTTACATTTTATCCACATAATTATTTCCACCTCCGTGCTACAGCTTCCAACCTTAACTCACTCCAGTCTAAGATATTAGTTATAATCACTATCCAAGTATGTTGTCATCAAGTTATAATAACATTTACTTGTTCTGAACACTGAATAAAATTGTTTAAAATACCTTGGTTTTATTTTGAGTTAATTTGTATTCTCTAAACTTCAAAACAACCTTTCAGACTACCTGAGGAAGTTTCTTCTACGCAGGAGTTACTATCTCAAATAGGTTTGTGGCCATCAAAGTTTGCATATGAAGGCCTTTTGTCCGCTTACGCTGATATTGGTGACAAAGACAGTTTATTACGAACTCTAGATGAGGCTTACGCTGTACTCCCTTCAATAGATGACAAAACAGCATCCCGTGAAATCTCACCTATTTTACTCTTGGATCTGTACACAAGATTAGTGTGTTCGTTGGCATATACTGATGCAACGTGCAGTGAGGTATTTGGTCAATTTATTGTTATGTATATTTGAATTTGGTATTTTACTCTATTAAATTATAAATCTTTCCAAAATAAAATGTGAAGGATTTTTACAAATTGTATTAATTGTTCAACATACTACCATAGATGTCGCTTCATACGATCTACAAAATTCATTCTTATATGAACTTGAGTAACACTGTAGAAACCAGGGTTCACATTTTCTAAGCTAATAACTTTCTAAACAGTAAATTTCACCTCATGATAATAAAGTTACTTAAAAAGCCGAAACATGTAATGTCTCGTGAATTTCTGCATTGAGAATTGTGTGGGAGTAGATGAATGTAGATCAGGTTCACGTTTTTGTAGATATAACAATATGCATTAAATCTGCTAGATAATATGACTCCCAGCTGTTTGCCCAGCTTGTGTCTGCGTTAATGTAGTTCTGCTCCCTCTGTCTTGATTTTGTGCAATTTATTATATCAGTCTAATCATATTTCGACCAAGCTATTCAATAGCCTATTCAAGATTGTATCTAACTGTTGATAATTTGTTCCACATATTTTTATTTATTAACCTACAGATTACAACAAAATTACTTACAACAGATTACTTTCCGTTGGAGTTTGCTATTGACACTGTCAAAGTGCTCTTAGCGAAGGGACGCCCAGCTGCTGCTCTGGAAATTTTCAAAGTAATACATAAGTATCAAAAACAAAATGATCATCTATCTTCATTTCCGGTTTATGCTGCTGCTGGTGGTTTGGTTAGTCGTTTTTTTGTTTATATATACTACACAATTCAAGCGTTCCCCCCAATTTTGTTTTTGCTACAGTTTCACTCTTTCAGCTGTTTGGTTTATTCGTGAAGCTTATTGTTCTGAACATCAGCATAAACTTCAGATAGAAGTAAAAGCGACATATTCGAATCTCTCTACGTATGACTGATAACTTGTCGACTTTGATCTTTTAAATACATCCGTTACACCTGATGGAGAAAATAGGCCTTCCATGTACGACTTTGTAGTGTAGTCCGTTGTAAGAAATCCGTATGATGTCGATGATCTCCTCAGTTACTCACTCCATAGTGTCAAAGTCGGTTCCATAAGGTTCTCCTACTCATGCCGTCGTTTGATTTCTCATAGCCAAAGAAGGTGATTTATAGTGAGACGTTCCATATAATTGATTGCCCAACAATGATCTATAGTTTCGCGATTTGGCGTGTGCTCGCCTGGTCCTCACAGAATCCAACTTGTTGAACTCGGAGTTGAGCGTCTACTGAATTTTCCATTCGGTTCGGCAACACTGTTGAGAACTTATCCTGATACCGATAGTAGTGTGATTCCTCTGTAGTTTTCACATTAGCTGATATCTCCAGTTAGTTGGCACTTGCTCTTTCTCCCAAATGTTCCTGAATGGAGAGCAGAGCATGTTTGCAGTTACTTCTATGTGTGACTTCAGTACTTCAAGTGGCATATTTTCAGTTCGTGCTGCTTTCCCACAATTGATTTGTCTGATGACGGGCCATTCTGGTCTCTTCGTTCGTGTGTGTAGTGACAACTATAGGAGGGTCTGTGTGTGATGCTTCGATGTCCGTTGGGTTAAGTGGGGCGGGTCTACTCGAGAGTTCCTCGAAGTATTCTACCCATCTGTTCTTGAATCTCTGTGATGGTCTTATCCCTTTTATCCTTGACCGGTCGCTCTGGTTTACTATATTTCCCTGTCAGTTTCTTCGTCTTGTCATATAGTTGTTTCATATTTCCTCCTGTTGTGACCTTTTCCCTCGTCGTTGCTAGGTCTTCCATATATCTTTGTTTGTCAGCTCCAATGTTCCTCTTCACTTACTTGTTGCTTCTGTGTATTCAGTTTGTGCCTTGACTTTCTCTGTTGTCAGTTTCTGTCTTCTTGTTCTTCCTTTCTTGAATCTTGTTGAGGGTTTTGATGGAGATGTATTCCTTATGGTGATGCTTGTTGCGACCTAGCATTTCCTGAAACGTTGATGTTAACGCCTCTGTGATCCCTTTCCAATTGTCCTCCATAGTATTTTCTTCTTCTTTGAGTAAATCTTGTACGGCTTGAAACCTGTTGTTGAGAGTTATCTTGAATTGGTTGAGTTTGTCAGTATATCGAAGGAAGTCTGTATTGAACTTTTAGAGTACTATTTCTCCAGTTGTCCAGTGTTTCTCTAGCATCAGTTTTCTTGGCAACCACCAAGTAGATGGTAATCTGAAGCTATGTCAGTTCCTCTCCAGGTTCTCACGTTCTCCATTGACTTTGTGAATATTTTAATTATGCAAATATGATCGAGTTGGTTTTGTGTGGTATAATCCAGTGAGACACACGCAACTTTGTGTATGTGTTTGTGGAGAAATATAGTAGTACCACCTATGATCATTTTTTGAATGCATACTAATTTGTAAATCTGTCACCATTCTCGTTCGTTTCTCCCAATCAGTCAGTGTCGTTCCACGATATCTGGATACTCGGTGTTGTCCACTCCGAATTTAACGTTTAGGTCTCCCATCATGTCCTTCCTTGCACACATGGCTACAATTGATTGTAGCCTCTCATAGAACTGATCTTTATCATCATCATTGCTATCATTGGTTGGTGCATAACATTGGATAACATTGTGACTCCCTCCTTACCTTCTTTTGAAAGATGCGTTGATTATTCCGGGTTGATAAGGTTTTCATCCTGTGAGTGCTCCATATGCTTCTTTGTACATTATCAGAGCAAGTTCCTGAGTGTGTAAAGCATTTCCTTCTTCGTAACCAGAGTGCAGCAGCAGCTCTCCTGAATCTAACCTTTACTGTGCAGATTTGGTTTTCATTGATTCCGTGAACATTCATGTTGTATCTCCGCATTTCCTTAATTATTAGATCAGTCCTTCCAGTCTCGCACATTGTCCGAACATTCCAATTATCTATGTTAACCGTTGCTGTTGTTGCTAGAATGGACATTGACCTCGTGGCTTTCGAAGAATCTTGACTTTCACCATGAGGTGTCATAATTCTTCTGAATGAAGATCCTTCAACTCCTAATGAAGAATTTAAATAGTTTAATTTGTTCCTGTCGTTCGGCGCTTTCGGCAAGGTTGTTTTCCGCGTAATAGTATTGCTGACTCTGTGCCAGACCCTCCTCTTTTTCTCGAGCTTAGAACCGGTGTATCACTAGAAGGGCTGCAGTTGAAGTTGCCACTTCTTCAGAGGAATAAACAAATTAAATCTACACAAGTTTAAATAGTGCAAAGGAGCAGAGCAATGTTTAATGGCATTAATCGAAAAATCTCTGACTACAGTTGAGAATTTTTTCTGTGTAAGTTGGTTCCCAATATACCTTTGCTTTTTTTATTTTTTCTGTTGTGTTTCTTGTGTCTAACATGTCTAAAAATGACAGTTTTTGTCCGATTCTTCCATTGTAAAGTTTGTGTACTCAAAGACCTTGACGTTGTAGATATTCTCCAGCTCCTTTTTAATGTTTACGAATTTATCATCTACATAGAGCTGTAGCTTCAAAGGACATTATCATTTTGTCGTCATTGATTTAAATTTCCCTAGTCTTATACTTTAATTGTGTGGAAGATGTAATGATATAGACGGATAAGTTCACCAAAGGTTTCAGTATTTAACTTCCTCCTGATAAACTATATGTTAAGGTTCCGAGGAGTGATTAGACTGGCCGTAGTGGGGCATTTGGTTTGTGTAGTTTCAGCCCACTATAGAATAGAAGGAGAATTTATTCATTGTCTTTCATTCGTGATTTGTCTTATATCGATATTAGTCTTGCTTTGTCAAGCTTTTTTGACGCTTTGCAAGTCTTTTTCCAACCTTTCATTGGATTTGTGTCCGTTGTTTGTATATGCTTATATCCTCAAGTAGCTTATCAATTTTTCATTCATCGTTCATAATTACTGTGGCACATCTCTTACTTTCGAGTATTATGAAATTGTCTCTTTTTGAGTTTCTTCATGGTATTTCCTGTGCCCTCAGTTGAATATGGTTTTTCTGCCATTATGTTTGGTCATTAGTAATCTAGTCCAATCTATTTAGTAGATTGTGTTAAAGTGTGTTTTTTCAAATCGATTTCACCATTGTTTTGTGTCATTTGCCGGATATTTCAATCAGAGTTGTCAAGTATTTTGGTGAGTATTCTAACATTGGTCCAAGATTTGTTTGTCCATTCACTTAAAAGAAAAATCTTCCAAGTCATTGTTTATTTTATCTCCATACCTAACATTAAATATTTATATTTGCACCTCACCTGTCTTTGTTTTACCAGGATTACAAGGCACTAGAACCTTTCTGGCATACAGCTAATGTGGATAGTAAAGAGCTGTTTATGCTTAGAAATAAATGTAAATTGTGTAAGTAATATGATTTGTAATGTTCATATTTGTATAAATATAACCGTATTGAACTTTGTCCAGTTTAATAGACAGAATCATCCGCCTAAGTGTTCGCACTCGTGGTTAATTTTTACGACTGTTTTGAATTCATATCTTTTTGTGGTAAACCTTATAGAAAATACATACCTACATTGTAAATACTTTCTGCAGTGTTATTTCAATGGGTTAAAACTGACATATCAGTTGTACATTTTGAGTAAACTAGCTGTCTGTTTGTTGCTGCTGCTGTGTGTGATATGTTTTGCACCAGGTTTAGCATATTGTTATTTTTTAAACGATTCTTGTAAATTATTGTTCCATTCATTGGTCGCTGCTACTGTTTCTGTTTGTAAATTGAAGTGGATTTTACAAAATAAGATATAACGACTGTAAAACGATGCATTAATTGTACATTACAAACTCATTCATGCCTTAGTAGATAACCAGGACATCTGAACTTTATGTTCCCAAAGTTTTTACATTTTCTGTTATTCACTATTTTAGACATCCATATATTCACGTGTCCAAATATTGTAGCTGGGTAGTTTTCAAGACCTTTATTTGCATATGTCGTAAAAAGTCTTAAGAAGAAGTAGTTATTTATTTCATAATTCTTGTTTAATTTCACTGTTTTCATTATAATTTTGAATGTGTATTATTGTCGTGAATCACAGGAGCAAACTTGTGTAATTTACTCAACATTTCATCCATAAAATTAATTCTTGGATAATATTTTAATTTTGATTCTGTATATCCATCTAAAGAAAAGTTCTCTCTTTAGATTTCCATCGGATCGGTAAAACAAACAATAAATTGGGCGATCAATTTCAAACCTGTCTTGAAGAGCACAACGTACAAGGTTGGTTATTTATCAAAAAGTGTAAAGCTATTAAAACTAACTTGCCATCAGTTTAATTCACTACAACTTATGCCTGTTACCCCTCGTGGAGGAGCATAGGCCACCCATCAATATTCTCCATCAAACTCTGTCATGGATAATCCTTTCCAGTTGCTACTCATCCTTATGATATCTACTTCCAATTCTCGACACAGCGCTCTTTGGTCTTTCTCATTTCCGTCAACCTTTAGGATTTCAAGTTAGAGCTCGCCTCGTGAAGTCCCTCCGGGAGCTACTGCCGGTCCCAAGCCCGGATAAAGGAGGAGGGTTGGGCATGGGGTTAGCGTCCTCATCCCGTAGAAAACTAACTCGCTAAAAAAACGCCAACCAAAAAAGAATTATTCAAACCTTTTAAACTCTGCCCCGGGAGTCAGAAGGTCTTCATTTAGAAGAATTATGACGCCTCATGATGAAAGCCGAATTACTTCGGAAGTTACGAGGCCGATTCCCCTTCTGACAACAAGAGAAACCATTTATTTAGGTGCATGGAATGTTCGTTCAATGTGGGACACCGGGAGAGCCTTCCAAATTGCTGCAGAAATGAGGAGATACAACCTAGAGGTACTTGGGATCAGTGAAACACATTGGACACAAGTTGGACAACAACGACTAACTACAGGAGAGCTCCTGTTATACTCCGGCCATGAAAAAGAAAATGCTCCACATACACAAGGAGTTGCATTGATACTGTCCAAAAGAACACAAAAGGCACTTATGGGATGGGAATCTCATGGACCAAGGATCATCAAAGCCTCGTTCAAAACAAAGAAAGAGGGCATTTCAATGAACATCATCCAATGCTATGCGCCTACCAACGATTACAATGAAGACGCTAAAGATCAATTCTACAATAGGCTGCAGTCAATAGTCGAGAAGTGCCCAACAAAGGACCTGACCATTCTGATGGGAGATTTCAATGCCAAGATTGGAACGGACAACACTGGATATGAAGACATCATGGGACGACACGGACTGGGAGAAAAGAACGAAAATGGTGAGAGATTTGCAGACCTATGTGCCTTCAATAAACTGGTCATAGGCGGCACCATATTCCCACATAAACGCATACACAAAACCACATGGACTTCACTGGATCACACCACGCAAAACCAAATCGACCATATTTGCATCAACAAAACGTTCAGGAGGACGATGGAGGACGTGAAAACCAAGAGAGGAGCTGATATAGCATCAGATCATCACTTGCTGGTCGCCAAGATGAAATTGAAACTCAAGAAGCACTGGACAATGGGGCAGACATCACAAAAGTTCAATACGGCCTTTCTTCAGGATACTAACAAACTCAACGAATTCAAGATAGTCCTCAGCAACAAGTTCCAGGCCTTTCATGATCTACTCAATGGAGAAGGAACTACTGTGGAGAGCAACTGGAAGGGGATCAAAGAGGCAATCACTTCAACATATCATGAGATCTTGGGTCACAAGAAGCACCATCACAAGGAATGGATCACTGTCGATACACTGGATAAGATTCAAGAAAGGAGGAACAAGAAAGCAGCAATCAATACCAGCCGAACAGGAGCAGAAAAAGCCAAGGCACAAGCTGAATACACAGAAGTAAACAAACAAGTGAAAAGGAGCATCAGAACCGACAAACGTAAATACGTGGAAGATTCAGCAACGACGGCGGAAAAGGCTGTAAGAGAAAGGAACATAAGACAACTGTATGACACGACAAATAAACTCTCTGGAAATCGCCGCAAACCAGAACGACCATTGAAAAGCAAGGAAGGCGAGGTAATCACCAACATTGAAGAGCAACAAATGAAGGACTCCTGATCAAAATACCGAAGAAAGGCGATCACAGCAACTGTGATAACTACAGGGGAATCACTCTTCTCTCAATACCGGGAAAAGTATTCAACAGGGTATTGTTAAACAGGATGAAGGACTGCGTAGACACCCAACTTCGTGGCCAGCAGGCAGGATTCCGTAAGGATAGATCGTGTACAGACCAAATCGCAACTCTACGGATCATTGTGGAACAATCAATTGAATGGAATTCATCACTCTACATCAACTTCATTGACTACGAAAAGGCATTTGACAGCGTGGACAGAACAACACTATGGAACCTTCTTCGACACTACGGCATGCCTCAGAAGATAGTCAATATCATACAGAGTTCATATGATGGATTACACTGCAAAATCGTGCATGGAGGACAATTGACAAAGTCGTTCGAAGTAAAGACCGGTGTCAGGCAAGGCTGCTTACTCTCACCCTTTCTCTTTCTCCTAGTGATCGACTGGATCATGAAGACATCAACATCTGAAGGGAAGCACGGAATACAGTGGACATCTAAGATGCAGTTAGACGACCTAGACTTCGCAGATGATCTGGCCCTTCTATTCCAAGCGCAACAAAAATGCAGGAGAAAACGACCAGTGTAGCAGCAGTAGATCTCAATATACACAAAGGGAAAAGCAAGGTTCTCCGATACAGCACAGCATACACCAACCCAATCACACTTGACGGAGAAGATTTGGAAGATGTAAAAACCTTTACATATTTGGGCAGCATCATTGATGAACACGGTGGATCTGATGCATATGTTAAGGCGTGGATCGGCGAAGCAAAAACAGCATATTTACAACTGAAGAACATCTGGAACTCAACACAACTGTCTGTCAACCAACACCAAGGTCAGGATTTTCAATACAAATGTCAAGAGAGTTCTACTGTATGGGGCAAAAACCTGGAGAACTACGAAAGCCATCATCCAGAAAATACAGGTGTTTATTAACAGTTGTCTACGCAAAATACTTCAGATCCGTTGGCCGGTCAGTCTGTCAGTCAGTACCAACGTAGAACTTCGTACGTACGTACATCAGTTCGAGTTGCCACACCACATTAGCACAGAGATGCAGTTGTCGATTCAAATCCCGTAGTGCTAGATGTAATAAGATTATAAGCTGTAATCAGAAAAATTAGGGTTTGAAGATGTTATTCAAGGACTATAATCCAGTGAAATAAGTTTGGAAAGAGAAAAAAGAAAGGGACATGAAAAAATCAGAAGATTAAAATTTGTGAGAACACAAAGAGTGGATGCACCTGCGCCATTGCAAACGATTTTGAGCAACAAGGTACTGTGGGAGAGAACAAACCAGATCCCAGTGGAGGAAAAAATCAGGAAGAAGCGCTGGAAGTGGATAGGATACACATTGTGGAAAGCACCCAACTGCATCACAAGACAAGCCCTCACATGGAATCCTCAAGACCAAAAGAAAAGAGGAAGACCAAAGAACACATTACTTTGAGAAATGGAAATAGACACGAGAAAAATAAACAAGCATCGGATGGAACTAGAAAAGAAGGCCCAGGACAGTGTGTTGGAGAATGCTGGTCGGCGGTCTATGCTCCATTGGGAGTAACAGGCGTAAGTAAGTAAGTAAGTAACTCGTGATACAGTTTGATGGTTACCTTAATGTATCTCGTATCCACTACCGTCTTTTCGTGATTTCCTCCTCAGCTCAAAGTCTGATTGTTCTTTCCCACATATAGCTGTTGTTGATCGTATCCAGCCAATGGATTTTGAGTATATCGCGTAGACAACTATTTATAAATACGTGTGCCTTTTTGATGATGGTTGTATTAGTTGTTGAAGTTTCAGATTTGTACAGTAGAACTGTTTCGACGTTCGTATTGAAGATTGTGGCTTTGATATTGTTTGACATTTGTTGTAAGTTCCAGATATTGTTCAATTGTAGGAATATTGCTCTTGGTTTACTGATCCTTACCATTACATCTGCATCATATTCTCCCTGTTCGTCGATGATGCTGACCTTGTCATGTGCTAAAAGTTTCCACCTGCTCCAGAGTTTGTCCATCAAATGTGATTTGTTTGGTTTGTGTTCTCTGCGTTGTATTTGAGGATGTTGGATTTTACCTCGTGTATGTTAGGACCTACTGATGTAGTCTTCTGCTACACAGGTTGTTTTCATCTGCATTTGTTGGTGTATATAATATAAAAGAGTTGGGTCGTCTTGGAAGTTCAAATCGTCTAGTTGCATCCAAGCTTTTCATTGTATTCCGTGCTTCCCCTCACATGTGTGGGTCTTCATAATCTAGTCAACCACCATAAGAGAGAGAGGGAAAGAGTAAGCTGCCTTATCTGACACCAGTTGTCAATTGAAATGCGTCTATAAGCTGTTATCCATGCCCGACTTTGTAGTGTAGACCGTCGTATGAATGCTGTATACTACAACTTAGCAATAACTTAAAAATAATTATTATTTTATGTTATTCTTATAATATATTTATTCTCTGTCTCCATACATTTAGCATCATAGTGTTGTTTTGATTTGGTCAATCCTCATTAACGTAGAGCCTGGGACAGATGTCCATTGGCTCAATTCTTCATATCATATTAGGACTTCAAGATGTAGATAACAAAAAGTATGTCAAAAGAAATCAAAATAATGTAACAATGATAGTGAGAAGGAATAAGCGTGAAGTAATTTAAAACTACAAAGTTGAAAGTTATTTGTAAAAGAAATATCGGTATCTAAGATTGAGAGGAAGTTCCAGAGTATACAAAACTGGGCCACCATTCAACTCTGCTTAGAATGCTTTTGGCTGAATAGATTGTCGACGCAATCTGCACATGATAGACAAATCCCAAAGGAGACTAATCACTTGCGGCCTTAAAAAACAGTGAAATGATTCAAACAACCAGTACCCATGATTATCCCATACCATTTCACGGAAAGTCTCTGAACACTGGTCGTGGTTGTTGCGCACACTCCTACCAGGGAGTCTGCATCAATCAGTATAGTTAAGGACCAAACAGTCAACAAATTCGTGGACTACTGTCATGTTTTAGATATTTCATCGCTAGTCTCCCGACTTCCACTACAATGATCCACCGAAAGCTATTTCAACTCTGAGCCACGCAGAATAAGAAATTTGGTATCAGTGAAACAATCTCTAAAGCTGATGATACCCCAATTAGCAATGTTCAAATACGTCGGAAACGATTAGCCGAGTTTTCGAAAAGCAGTACAACTGTTCTGTTGCTCCATAGTCATCGATTAGTTTATTCTGCTCTCCGTGATCGCCGACGAATGGACCACCTAACAAAAGAAAGATCCACATGGAACTCCATCTTATAAAGCGTCATAAGTTAGCGAGACCAAACAGTTCACCACTGGTTATTTTTTGGGAACGTAGCAAACCTCTGATCAGGAAAGTGATAGGTCTGTTACGAAAAGCATAAAAAATTAAGTGTCCCAACATCTTAAACTAAAGCAAAAATCCTACTTATCCTTGAAAAAGGCTTTGTCATCTAAACAATAGCTATCAGAGTCTACTGTCGATTGCATTCAAACGATTGGCTCCCGTCATACTACACAGGTTGATCAAAATTCTTGAAAGTCTGATACGGGTGGGGGCAAGGTGGTTTCCGTTCTGGTCCAAGAATTAACAATTACATATTTGTACTGTGCCAAACGTTAAAACGTCACCGTACTTATTGCACATCAATAATCGTTGTGCTTCTTGATATGACGGTCACCTTTGTTTTGTTGAATGAGATTGTTCTCTCAGATTGTTTAAGAAGGGTATCTCCAAGAGTTATTAATATCTTGATGGCTCGGTATACAAACACGTCAGGGACAGAAAAGGCATACAACCACCTCTCTGCATTGTTCCATTCCAACAGCATGGTTAGGTAGGATTAGTTAATCTCGTCATTTCCCCCACAACTTTGCCATCGATGATATTCTGAAAGCGTTACTCATGGAAGTGGGTAGTGGTTGTGGTGTGGGTCATTTTACTGAGGAAGTATTTCTAAACTTGAATATACGAATGAAGTTGTTTGACTGAGTGATAATACTCAGGATACGACAGTTTATTATTCGGTACAATGAAATTATGCAACTCAGTGACTTGAGACTTTGTCAGAAAGGGCTTAAATAGGAAGCCAATGGCGATCCCATCGCAATCTCTCTTACATTTCTCTTGACAATAAGGATATATTTGTATAAGAAAGTAAAAAAATGAAAAGAGGAACTTGAACCTTTATGGTGTGTATAGAAGATACATCTATGAGACATTACAAACCCTGATCACTCACTATGTTTTTCACATTACGCAAAATTTAATCCGACAAATGCTTTTTAAATCCTGCAGCTTGCGTTTGTTTCTTTTCAAAGACTATGTTTCACAGCTGTGAAGTAATACGTTGGGAGCTGATCCCGTCACGGACATCCTACTTACACTATTTATGATGTATGTTGTCTAAGGTTAAATCTTTGTCGCAATTTTGTTAGATACCAATCTACCTGGGCAACAATAAACTGACAGTTGAGAAAATCAGCTTTGAGAATTTTCTGTCTCTGGCTACTTTTCTGTTCTGATTATTGACAGTATGTACTCAGCATATTTGCTTGACTTCTTATGCAAGTATTATGTTGACTTTGTGTTGATATTTATCTGTTCAACCTAATGATACATTAATTCTTTTATTTCCTATTTAAGCTTTACTCCTACATTCACTGTTATACTCGTTTATGATGTAAAAGCTTGTTATTATGTTCACTACTTTTTCTGTAGGCGCTCTTGATTTATTGAAGAATCTAAATAAAACGAACATTACATTAGCGTATTCATTGTTTCTACCAAAATTAATCCGCTCGGGGTTTTCTTTACAGGACTTAATCAATCAAACTCAAGTACGTTTTATACGTATTATTATTTTTACTAATCTTGAATAAATCTTACGATACGGGTATTCGTCAATATTAGAACGAATAGTTTGCCGAATATAGAAAAGCCATTATACGTGTAAATTATATTTGAAGTAATCTGAGCGACAGAAATTCAAATAATTTTGATCTTGATTACCCTGAAGAAGTTTACTCAAGTTTGCTGGACGAAACGTTGGAATCATTTAAACTTCAATCTCTGAGATTAAGTCAAATATAATTTTCACATATAATTAAATCTTAGTGTTAGTCTGTATGAGTTTAAATATAAAGTTATTTATGATACCTAAAGTTATCTGAAGATCTTTAATGCCTTATTCAAAAAGTTACAAGTCCCAGTCCTTCGGCACTTTGGTTTGAGAGACCGGGTGGGCCACGTGCTACGTATGCCTGAACACCGATTACCACGACGTGCAATGCTAACTGGTGTTAGAGATGGTTGGAAGAAAGTTAGGGGTGGCCAAACCAAAACGTGGCATCAGTGCTTGCAGTTACTATCTTCTAGTCTGAGCCATGTTGGTAGATGCAGACTACTTGGTTGGGATCCTCGTGACTATCGTAACCAATGGTTGGAGACTCTTGGTGACATGCCTCAGAATCGATCACAATAGCGTCGGTGTATACACTCTCTGTCTTCCCCTAAACTAAGAGGTTAAAATTCTTCATATCTTTCTTTCTTCCTGTACTATATTCTTATTGCAATCTTTCTTTTATATATAACCACCTCTGTATTAACTACTTTTATGAATCGGGTGTCCATCTTGTTGTGTTAATGAGGTATTGCAACTCGGACCGATGCATATATGTGCCTGGTCCTACGTTGTAGCTGACTGACCAAACCTTGCCAAATGTGTGAGTTTGCGCCCAGTGAAGTAGCTTTATGTAATTATTAAGTCTGTTTCTGCTAGTTCAATATGTCTTGAACATCTCCAAACCCTAATCTTCCCGATTACTGCTTATACTCTTATTACCTCTACCACTACGGGATTCGAATCGACAAGTGCATCTCTGTGCTAATGTGGTGTGGCAACTCGAACTGATGTACGTACGTACGAAGTTCTACGTTGTTACTGACTGACTGACTGTATGTGAATGCCCATATCTAAATATCATAAGAGTAAAGTCTCATTATGTTAGTGGATGTTCTGCTAAGATTTTCATGATATCCAGTTTTAATAGTAAATATTATCATTAATCAAAAACACCATAATTGTATTTCCAGCGATACTATACTTGAGTGAATTTTGTTTTGATTGCCTTCTTATCAAGAATGTATCCCTTAATATTCCTTCGTTATTGAATAATAATAACACAAAACGTTTATCCCGTTTCATCTAGGTCATTTCTGGTTATCGAGACTTCTTTTGTTAGCATTCGATTCTACTGCAATATTCTTACAGGAAAATAATGACATTCTTTATTTTGCTTATATATGATAAATCTATAATTTTAAAATTATTATTTTCTATGTTTTTGCATTTTAGGATCATGAGATTAATAAGGCTTTAGTGTTCGGATATGTGTTTAATAACCTAGTATCAATACAATCAACAGACGATCTAAAATCACGTTTAACTAGCTGTTTGGAATTGGTGAATGAGTATCGCGCTAAGGAATTACTACCGTACAATGATGTTGTTCGTTTGGGCAACCCCATTGTAGTTAAACTGGTAATTAATCAATTATACATTTTGTTTATGTTGTATGAAGTAAAAAAATATCTGGACACACATTACTTACTTACGCCTGTTACTCCTAATTGAGCATAGGCCGCCGACCAGCATTCTCCAACCCACTCTGTCCTAGGCCTTCCTTTCTAGTTCTATCCAATTGTTGTTCATTCTTCTCATGTCTGTCTCGGCGTAATGTGTTCTTTGGTTTTCCTCTTTTCCTTTGGCCTTGAGGTTTCCATGTGGGGGCTTGCCTTGTGACGCTAAAAATCGGGGATCGGGCACATATTGCCCTATGGTAAATTGCATTTACGTTTAAGTGGAGATAAATCCATCAAGTTTTGCATTTGGAAACTGTATTTATATTTCGTCAAAGTGTTATCTGATTAACTGTAATGCATATAGCAAAAGTTATTAGTAAGACCTGTTTTTCACAAACTTCCTATCTGATCCCAATAACTAATGATAGTTCAGTTTTTATCATTGGTTTTATTCATCATCTCGGAATATTACATTGGTTTGAAGACCCCATGTGTGGACGTTATTTGCAAATACTTACATTTCCTTATTGTAAGTGCTATAAAATAGTACGACCAATAAATTTCTATTGCCATATAATTACTCAATGGCCATTGTCCGGATACCATTAGCAACAACTTACTATGGTAAAGAACAAACCACTTCCTACCTGGATAGGAAATCAGGAAAAGACGTTGGTATTGGATACAACATACATTAAGGTAACCATCAAACTACGCAAGATAAAATCCAACATCCTCAAATACAACGCAGAGAACACAAACCAAACAAATCACATTTGATGGACAAACTCTGGAGCAGGTGGAAACTTTTAGCACATGACAAGGTCAGCATCATCGACGAACAGGGAGAATATGATGCAGATGTAATGGTAAGGATCAGTAAACCAAGAGCAATATTCCTACAATTGAACAATATCTGGAACTTACAACAAATGTCAAACAATATCAAAGCCACAATCTTCAATACGAACGTCGAAACAGTTCTACTGTACAAATCTGAAACTTCAACAACTAATACAACCATCATCAAAAAGGCACACGTATTTATAAATAGTTGTCTACGCGATATACTCAAAATCCATTGGCTGGATACGATCAACAACAGCTAACTGTGGGAAAGAACAATCAGACTTTGAGCTGAGGAGGAAATCACGAAAAGACGGTAGTGGATACGAGATACATTAAGGTAACCATCAAACTGCATCACGAGGCGAGCTCTAACTTGAAATCCTGAAGGTTAACGGAAATGAGAAAGACCAAAGAGCGCTGTGTCGAGAATTGGAAGTAGATATCATAAGGATGAGTAGCAACTGGAAAGGATTATCCGCCCACCGTTGAAGTGGGCTTTGGCATAAATTGATGAATATTTAGTACCTCATCACTCAATTCGCTGTTCTAACCTAGTATCCAGCTCTTAAACCGAGGCATAGCTCACTTCGTGGTCCCAAAATACACGAGCTATGCTTCGAAGTCACCTATGAGCAAACCGCTGCACAGTAAACTCACCTTTGGTTGGTTAAAGGATATCTCAACTACGCCACAAATGAAGAAAGTTGGCGAACGAGAATCGAGCCTTATGAATTCGTGTAAAAATTTCATCAGACGACAAACTCTCATGACTGCTCCCTAAATGCACTGGTACGGCCGGAATAGAGGAGGGCACGCCTATTTTTGAAATGTTCTCAAATGGCCTCCCATATACAGCCACTGCCAGAAAGTCATCGCGGCGAAGGTGTTTACGAAATTAAAAGGATGAGAATCGGATGTCAGGCGTTGGAGATGATAGTCACCATTATAGATCCTGTGAAGAAGTTGCCGTAAGCCAACACTCGACTCCTATGTGTGTAGACGGTTGTTTTTCACAATTAAATGTCTGACTCGCGCTACTCTCTCTTTCAATAGTGCTTTCTCTTCCGTTCAGTTGGTGGTACAACTTATCTACGATAACACTCGGGTTGTAATCTGTTAAGGTATGGGTGGTGTTTACATTAATACACCGTTTTCTCACTTTTATAGAACTTTCTAATCGAACAAAGAAAGCCAAATCTCTTTTCTGATCTGCATCTGTGTGCGAATGTTTTAGTAGTCAGTATTTTCAAACATTCGGAAACTTATATTTTCTTATCACTAATTATTTCATAATCTGTACTATTATTGGCTTTGCTGTGTTAATGAGGCATGACAGCTTAAACCGATGTACTTATGTGTCAGGTTCTACATTGCTTATTCAGTGAATCAAGTTAAAATTTCGACTAGACAGGTAATTAAGGTTATATCGATGAAACAGGATGTGCCCCATAGGTACTCAGGGTCAGGAATTGGTAGAGTGTAATTGCGTTGTTAAGTTTTAATATTGATCATGCTATTATCATGCTCAGAAGAGTACTTTTCTTAATTGTTCATTACTTAGTTTCTTTTTCAATCTATGCGTTTTTCTATTATGCAACGTCTGAATTTTTTTCTGACTTTTGATGGATGTGCTTTTCTTGTTTTGTTTTCTTAAACCTCAGGTGACAAATATAATATCCGTTTCAGATATGGCAGAAATTGCAAAGTTGAATAAATCAACCGTAATGCATGACGTTTTCCGCATTTTCAGCCATACACTAACAAAACGTTCGTTACGTATGCTGTACTTGCAAGTTTTCGAAGCTTTGATGTTATCCAACCTTCGTTCATTTCATGGCATCCCAAAAAATATTGTAATTCAACTTGTAGCTGATGTATGCGCTCATCAAGTAAGCGGAGAATATTTTTGTTTTGGTTTGTTGATGGTTGCACCTATACTTGATTTCTGTTTTATTGATAGTAAATGATTTAAACATTAGAAAAATACACTTGTTACTGAGTTTTATTGAACTTCGCAATTATTTAAATAAAATTATCACTTAAGGAGCTAGTGTAATGTGCATTCAAAACTACCTATTGTTAGTTTGAGAGTATTTTGATTAACGTAGGTCATCGTAATGTCTTATTGACATTCTGCAAACGAATTCTATCACGTAGAGCTGCTCAATAAAACTTGAACATTTTAAATCAAAGTATGCTGTGTAACTGCAGACTATATGTGAATCTAGTTGCCACATTGTAACTTGGTCGATAGATTTTGATCCTTTTAATTTACCCGTCGTGGAAGAGCATAGGCTGCCAATCAGGAATTTTTGGCCAGTGTTTTTAAGTAAGATTGTTTTCTACGTGATGGTGTTTCTGACTCCATGCCCAACCTCCTCGTTTACCAGGGCTTGGGACCGGGAGTAACCCAGGAAAGGCTACAGGCATCAACCAATGAATTAAAACATTTTACTAACTGCAACACTGCTGCATGCATATGAGACAGTGTATTGATAAAACCATTTCCTATTACAATACCCTTTATTCATAGGTTCTTGAATTCATCAGTAATGTTTACAGAGTACTCTTATCGAAAGATGTATACTTTTTATAAAAATTTAATTTCTGGTGAACACTTACTCAAACTTGGTCTCCATGTAGGACGATCTTTACGGTCAAAATAGGTAGATCGTATACTAAAAACTCAAAATTCTACTATTAATTTATGCTATTTGTGTGTTAATTATTTTTACTGTTTACACCAAATGTGTATGGAGTACTATTACTCCTACAGTTGTTGCTGATTAACGAGTTTCTGAAAGGTACATATTTATTTGTTGCTTCCTAAATCCCCATTTTTATCCGTCGACAATATTTTTGACCCTATTTCTCAGCATAAGTTACGTCTCAAAACTGGTAATCTCTTTTTGAAGAACAGTGCTTTCATGGGTAAACCATTTACTGAGCTCTCAACTATCGTACTAGTCTAAATATGTTCACTTATGCGTTAAATTTCATCTGCTAACTTTTATTCATTGATTATAAGTTCACTGGTTTATTTGAGATCTCAAACTAATATAAGTTAAACAGCCAGTTATTGGTTTGTGATTTCAACGAAATTTAACTATCTCCACAACTATCGTACTGATAGTTTTCTAGCACCTGTAGTTATTAATCTGGATATTTTATTAAAAATATTATCGAGTTCTTGACCCTAAGACATCCACCTGCGTTATTACCTAGTATTTTTTTGTATTCATTTGCCACTTTTTTTCTCTTAGAATGTCACGTTTGGTTATGGTGATTGGATATTATCAGGATTGAAAGATGCCGGTGTACCAAGGGTACGTTTCGCGCACATGAATAACAATAATTATATGCATATCCTTGTAATTTGTCACTTTTTGAAACCGTTAGTATTTGCATTAGTTATAATCAATTTTCTGTTGTTTTTATTTGTGTTAAACACTAGGATTGTTGACATGTGATCTGCGGAGTTTGAGGATGTGATCATATCCTAAAGTACATTGCATTTTTGTTTGAATATGTGTTTCATGATCGCATTTTCTTTTTTCTATTATTCAAGCACATTATGGCAAAACTTTCTTCTGATCAATCTGTGGAACTATCTTCGTAAGTTTGATAATTGTTTCTCGTTTTTTAAATCCAATCAAAGTCTGTAGTTAGTTAGACATCAATAATCCACACTTCTTTTTAACATCATCACTTTATTTATTTATAGGTGGAAATTATACCCGGGTACTAAACTCGAAGCATTTGGTTTTCGTAAGGGGGTTATTCTCTGAGCCCTCATATCAGACAACTAATTCACATGTCCTCACTTTTCTTACTAATGCTTCCTTTTTCCATTATGCTCTTCAATTTCAGGTTTTCAGATCTTAGCGTTGTGCTTTTTGGTGGGCGAACGAGCAACGGTAAGCACAAAATCAATTAAAGACCATTCTTGTAAGGTGTATTGTTCGATTTATATACTTGGTTTTTTGTATGGGTTGTATTATCATTGGTTACTGATTTTGAAAGAAGATTAGAACGTGTTTGGTAATACTCATCAATGTCGAGCCGTTATACCAGTTTTGTGTGTATTTAGCGAATTTCCCTGTTTCTTTTCACCGCTGTCGCTGGAGATATGGTACTATAAACATTTTGAAAATAGTGTCTATCGCTTTTGTGATTGCCACTTCGTTTATTTTTGAAGTGCATCAGCGTGATTTATCACATCGCCATTAGCGGTAGCCTTTTCCCCATCATTATATTAGTTATTTTTATCGATTAGTCACAAAAAACAAAGTATCATTTCAAGTTTCCGAACTACATTAAGGCATAAAATAACATAACGGTAATTGTTTAAAATATTGACTTCCATAACACTATTCAGATTGCTGGAAAAACAAGAAAGGCTGAATCGGGTGGAGGTGGTTCTGTTATTGTTCTGTTTCAAGAAGCATCAACCATATCTGCACCCTTTTCCAAATGTTAAAAGATCGTCATAATTACAGCACGCTTACAGTCGTTGTGATTTTTGGTATCCTGGCTATCTTCGTTACGCTAAATATGATTGTCCTTTGGGATCATCTGTGTTTTCCTGTCATCCCAATCAAGTCGGTTGGAGAACAATAAGACTAAACTCAGCGAACTCATGGTTCATACGGGATGTTGTATGGCTGACTTTATTGTTTGACTACAATAAGTTGTTTGTCTCAAACAACCAACTTCTGAAGTAATGTTACCTTGTCACAAAAGAATGTTTTAGAAAAGGTATATTCTAAAAACAAAACTTCACCTTACGTCATACATTTCGATCTCTGGCAGAAATATGATTTAAGCTTTATGATGAGATCTTTTTAATTGATCAGTACAAAGCAATTTTAAAACTCAAGTTTCAGAAGAAGAGAGATTTTATCGGTCTACGCCTTGACGATGTATTTTAATTGTTATAAGGCCCAATAGTTTGTTCGAGGTAGTATCCAAGCGGTCTCTTACAAAACTTCGTAAACCGTTACACCCTCGCTTTTTTGTACGGTGCTTAATTATTTGAAAGATTTCCCCACTGTTATCGGATATTCATGGGACAATGTTAGATTTCATACAATTACAATCGATCATTTGTAAATCCCATCTCTTGTTTTGAAAAAGTATGATACAGGATGTCTTGAGTAAATACTTTACTGGCGTCACACCTCAGTTTAGTCACCAATACTGCTTCACACTGCAACCATAAATTGCTGTTTTTTATTTGAACACATATGTTTTGGTACAAGGAGGCACCAGATACATATCCGCCACACAAATCTCTTCTGATTTTTATGAGGGCTGTGGTACTACTCGGGTGCTCAAACCCAAGCAGGCTGTTTTATTAGAGGGCGACACCCAGAGCCTTTGACCTAAAGGTCTGATCCACAAGGCAGTGAGGTAACATCAGGAGATACAGTTCCATGGTAACCGGTAACCAATAATTGGTTCACACGCCATTTGTTCCCTCAGGATACTGAAACCCATGTGCACCATTGGTTTTACAATCAGGGTTTTCCAACTCTCCTAGGTTGACTCCTCGTGTCCACCAATATAGTTAAAGCGCCGGACATTCGCTTTTCATCCTCTCAATTTCGTATACAACATCCCTATCACGAGAAGGCAGTAATTAGGACTTCCGTGACAGTGGTTGTATGCAAATGGTCATGTGAGAGCATTTCGTGATGGAGGGTTGACTCTCAACACTCTCGGCTGTGCCAGAGCATTCGTGAGCAAATTGCTGCTTGGACTTGTATAATTCTTTACCTACGTACTTCGTATCGTAAACCCTAAATGTGAAAGTGTTTCACCCAATATCGCTTGACTAGATCATCACAATGTGAATGCCTGAGCATTATGTCATTGTCGCAACTACAGTTATGATCGTTTTCCACCAAATATGTATGGTTTATATTGGGTTGGTAATTTCCTCATATGCATGTTTCGTTTGTTTTACTCATCTTTTGAGAATTCGACATATTGAAAATTTTTAATGATAGTCATTGACACAGCTATTATGTAAACATGTGATTCATTATGAATATTGTAGGAATATATTAATATACATTTCCTTTTTCACTTTTTCTAATATAAAGCAGTCAGAAGAAACAAAAATGAAGGTTCATTAGCTAATCAGATGGTAGGTTGTGTATATTATACATATTTTTATAAAATGAAATACATAGTTACAATTTCTCATAAATAAAGCGTTTTCTGTATTTAAAACTCTTGGAACGTTGATTGTAGCACAAACTTGTGCGCTACGTTTATTGAACACTGACTATATTCTTTACGCTTTCTGATAGTGTGTATTATTGTGTATGTGTTTCAGTCTTGTTTATTTTACACGTTGTTCATAATTACTTTAATGTTTTTACAGAAGTTACCTTCTGAAGAATCAGTACCAATTGCCGCCGAATCACTTGTTAAGTAAGAATATTATGCGATTATTAATTTGTTATTGTTTGATTTTTCTAACTAATTGGTTTCTTTTACTTGTGGGTTGACATCTAATATAATGCTTTCAATTGAATGTAATGTTAGTCAACCATTTGTAGTCAGCGTAGTGCCTAAAATGAATTATGATCTAGTCAGTATGTATATGTTGTCACATGATAAGATTACTGTTTTTTCTCGTCAATATTATCTTTTATTTCCTTACTAAAACTTGCTTAATTTCATTATCCCTTATTATAGAGCACTAAAAGATGATCCTAAAAAATTGGAAACGGAATTAAAATCTATTGAAGCTTTATGGAGTTTACAAAGTATGTTTGTCATTTGTTTTTAGATATGTATATATTTCGTAAATTTTTATTTTATTATTCTATAATAATAATCATTGCTAATTTTGTTGCTTTCAAGAGAAATTCATTTTATTGAGCTATCTCGTAAATCTTGGATCAAAAGATCTGGTTGAACGTGTGTTACAATTTTTGCCTGAAGAACAAAGAAAACAACGTGAACCAATGAAATCACTTGCACATATAATAAAGTGAGTACATTTTATTGAAAGAAAAGAAAATAGTTAGAAATTTCCTCTTACATTGTAATGTAATTGAAAATTCCCTCCACTTTACTTGTTCAACAAGTATACGATTTTATAAAGACAAAAAATTCTTTAATTTCATAATGTGGTTTGTTTTCATTACAGAATAATATGTTATCAAATATTATTCGTATAAATACTTTTAAAGTCGTCAACTTCTTGATTAGTCAGTAACAACGTAAAACTTCGTACGTACGTGCGTACATCACTTCGACTTGCCACACCACAGAAACAATTCTCGACTCAAATCCTGTAATAGTAAAGGTAGTAAGAGTATAAGCAGTAATCGAAGAGATTAGGGTTTGTAGATGTTATTCAACGAGTATAATCCAGTGATATAAATTAGAAGAGAGAAAAAAAGTTCATGAATAATTCAGAAGAATTTTGGACAACACAAAGAATGGATGCACCTGCGCCATTGCAAATGATTTTCAGCCGTGTCATTCAAGATCTTTAACCATCAGTTGCTATCGTCTTTCGGATCCCCCAAATACCCTGGTACGGCCGAGAGTGTTGAAAGTCATCCCTCCCTCTCGAAATGCTCTCACATGACCACGTACATACAACCATCGCCACGGATGTCATTTTCGATTCAATAAAATTAATGCCTAACTATTACATCATCATATAAGCGTAATTCAATAAATGCGTAAAATTTAACTGTATCCTTATATTAGAATTTTTAACTTGTGTTCAGTCGGCATAGACGCTGGATTGTCCTTATTCGTTTAAGATGTCTTTGTTTCTTTTATTGATTTAATAAATATTGTTATTTATCATGTACAGGTCATCCTTAGAAAATGATACGGAAAAAGAATCATCTTCAGAAAGTGTGAAACAGTCGATTCAAAATTTACAAAATCTTTCACCTAAGGATTTATACTCTACAATGAGGGGTCCACACTTAGATACACTTTTCAGATGTTGGCCAACTGAACATATTTCAGACTGTATGTTATATATTAATTAATTTTTTTAACTTGTAAATTCAATTAGTCACAATAATTTATGGTCAGTTATAAAATTTATACTCATTGTTATAATGTTCTATTCTCCCCAAATGCCCTGGTACGGCCGAGAGTGAGGAGAGTCCTGTCTCCCTCTCGAAATGCTCTCACATGGCCATGCGTATATAGCCTCTGTCAGGGAAGTTCTACTCATTGCCTTCTCGTGGCGCGGGTGTTGTTTACGAAAATGAGAAGACGAAAAGCGAATGTCCGGCGCTTTGACCGGAATCCAAACCATTAGTGCACATGGCATCCAGTATCCCGCGCGAACAAATGGTCACAGTGATGTTGGCTGACAGTTCTTTTGAGTTTCATGTGTTGTCAGACTGTAGGAATGCGGTCCCTGCTTTGCCAATTCGTACTCAAATATTTACATTAGATTCTCCTTGTTTAACAATGATGCTGACCAGGTACGTGAAAGTCACCACCTCTTCCAGTGCTTCTCCATCAAGTATGATTGGATTCGTTGGTGTTCTCCGTGTTGTGTCTGAGGATCTTACGTTTCCCCCTGTGTATGTTCAGGCCTACTGATGCAGAGGTTGCTGCAGCTACACCGATTGTCTTCACCTGCATTTGGTCATATGCATGCTAAATATGTATTTAGTAAGGTGAACAAATTATTTGTATTACTTTTAGAAAGAGATGAGTGAGTAGTAAATAAAAAATTTGTGAAAATTATCATAAGAATAAAATAACGTGAATGTGGATCATATTTGTATACATATGAGCGAAAAAATATCTACTATAAATAGGCTTGTAAACTGTGGTTATGGTTAAGAGGGGAATCTAATATTTTTTTACATGCCATAAGGCTTTCTATCCATAGCTATTCATAACTTCTTCAATATAAGGTTAGTTTAGCCGTGTATCTGTAGGATCTCTATCTGATATCGGGGAATAAATCTGAAGCCTAAAAGCATGTATTTACTACACATTTCGGAATTGATGGTGTTGTTGACCTTTGTCGTCCTTCGCTAAAGCTCATTGGTAAGTCTATCACTCCGACCAACAACGTACATGCCAGTATCATTTATTTTACATTCATATTTGTCATTATCTTTGGAAAAGTCATGTTTTTTTTATTTGCCAGAACTAGTTATATTTATTGCTCTTTTAAAAAATATTCATATCGTATTTCCTTTTAATTTTTTATCAGTGATTGATATCACAAAAAAGCTTTCCAAACTTGGTCTCAATTCTGTCAATTTACAGTTGGCTGGAGTTTTGGTTAATCGTGGGCTGAGTGACTTAGTTTCTACTTTGTTGGAGGTAATCATCGTTATACTTTTTATGACGAAAGATAAGTAGGGAGTGGGTTCACTTTGTTTTGTAGGCAGTTAGTGATTGGCAACAAAGTTACATTAATGTTGGAATCTATATATAGCCAGATATAGCTAAGCGAAATCCAATCAGTTTTAAATTTTGCTCACTAAAACACTTATACACTACTAGCAGGTTCTTTGAGTAAACACGTTTGTTAATACCTCAAAATGGTATGTCTACGTAGTTTGCGAATGTGAGTTACTATACAAAATATTTTGTCATGAATGGCCATTAGTACGTCGATAGTTAATCAATGTGATATATTTTGTTCTAGTTACTTGAAGACATTATTGTGTTAAATAATCTTTCCATCACTTGATGATAGCTCAGTTAGAGTTTATCCACCTGAGAATTTTCTTATTCGACACCATTCTTTAATTAGATATTATACTAGCAATCCTCTCCTTAGTTATTGTACTACATAACAGAAAGAAGATATAATGAGATTATCACCCCTCTAGACTTGTTAAGAATTATGCGTTGCATGTCAAATTCAACTCCATGTATTATCTCATTTATTTCTTAGTACTACAAACGTTTGCGGAATACATATCAATTGTTATGATATATGTATATAGGAGTTATGTTACTGACCTATCATCCTAACAAAAAACTACGGGAGCAATAAGAAACCGAATGATTATACTTTCGAATATTGTAATGGTTTCCTATTCCAACAGTACCAATAAGTTTTTTTTGCCTTAACACAATGTGCTAGACACCTTGTACACTAAATTCGTGTGGTGTCATGATCATTTTAACAATGAATATTAATTTGTCTTCAATGTTACTTCTGATTTAGAATAACAAAACAGTTCCGTTTACTTTCTTGGTTGGCAATCCACGAAATTCATTGACGAAATCTGAATTTCTGTCTTCGGTGGAGTATCTAAAATCTGTTGATTCTCAACATATTCCTGGTTTTGTAGATCATTGTCTCCGCAATGCAGGTACTATTTCTAAATATGTTTGTTGTGGTTTGTCGCTGAGTTCACGGTAAACTCAATCCCTTTTTTGTCGTTGTTACGTTACATTGTACATATTTTTGACAAATTCAGTAAAATCGTAATTAACATAGATTGAACATATTCATGAGTTTCTACAAGTGATTGATTTCAGAAAATTACTTCTCCAACTTTCATCATTACATCTTGGTCGAACGGTAGGACTAAAATATATGCTGCTCGTTACGGTGTATATAATACAACCAGCCATCGAAATTTTATTATCACTAAACTGAATAGTCGATCAACAGCCTATTAAGTAGATTGAGATCATCATATATAGATATCCGTCTGTCGCATCATCAGTGACCACCCTACTTTAATTCACCACACATCACATTTATGTCTACAATTAGTATCCGCTAATTCTATGCAGTTGTGTGGAATGATCCCAGAAGTCGGTATATAGCCGATAGCACTTGACCAATAGTAATAATATTCAAGGGATTATTACGATCTCATTTTCCATCCGTCATCCGAAGATAGATTCTTTTAACTAAATACATTAATTTCGGTGTCAACAGTTCAATTTAAGTCGACATCTTACATCGTAATTCAATAGACGATTTCATGCCGTTTAAAATAGTATATTATTTGTACCCTTGATATAGTCCTGATGTTTTTTATGTAATTTCAGCTTTGTCGACAAACGATGACAACTTATACCAGTTAATTCGTGCAGTAGTATCACCACCGTTCAATATGGATCTTCTTCAAGTTTGTATACAACCCACTCTCCAAGTTTTACATCATCGTTTGGAAGTGAGCGAAAATGTAAGTTTTGGTTTTATGCTTCATTTGTCGGAGTTAAAAAAAACTTAGTTTGGAAGTAGCACTCATTTTTGTAATATGATCTTCCATCACGATTTATTGATTGCTGTAGATCCAGTCGTTCAGAGGTATTTTTGTTTGGTAACTGGTTAGACAAACCTTTCCAATGATTTATCTGACACCTTGACTTATTTCATTCGTTAAATACAAAAGTACTCTAAATGAACTATTTTTCGTTCAGCTGCAGTGATTTCGGTCGTTAATTTGTGAAAACAGATTGTGGCACTCCAAAATAAATCGGTCTAAGTAAATGTCGCAGCATTTTTACTCAAACTCTAAGAAGTTGTTATTCCTTTTTAATCGCTTAGCAGTAGTTTCTGGCTGAAATTACGGGTTTTAATCTTGAGTATCAGGTCTTACTTTGTACAACTGTTGACTGTCTCTGCTTTCTATGGTTAATCTAAAAAAATTGATTTCTGTCTTTTTTCGTTGTAGTTACCAGAAGATATACTTCAAGCTACTCAACCAGTTGTTCAAAAAATTAGTGCATTAAAAGCAAAAGCTTCCAATTGAATTAGAAAGCTCTTGCCCCTCATTTCTTTCTTCAAACTGCAAAATTATAGGTTTCTTTATGAAGGATTTTAATTGTCTTTAGTCATCATCGTGTACAATAAATTATTCGAATCAGCTTCTTCACCTTTTGGTTTGCGCTTGGGTTATTGATTAGCAGGTACTAACTAGTGCTAAAAAGGGTTATAACAACAGTACCTGCAGAGTTAGTAACTTATTTGTGAGATAATTACCGAAGAAGATACCCATAGGACATGAACCCAAAATACTCTGTTTTCAAGATCATACCTCATATATTGGATCTTGGAATCGCTAATTTCTAACACTGCTGGACGATCGTCGTGAACACTTCTGTAAGTGTTTCCTTGAATAACTTTGATTTTACCAACATTCTTCGTTCATCACTCCTTCAGTAAATTCCCAGAAATAAGAATAATTTTAAATCTGCTCTGGGAACTCAAAGGTGTTTAATTAGAAGAATTGTGATGCCTCATGTTGAAAGCCGAGGTTCTTCAAAAGTCAATACATATGTCCCTGAACCGAATGTAAGATTCAGTGGACACCCAACTTCGAAAGCAACAGTCTGGATTCCATAACGATAGGTCTTCAATCGACTAAATCTTCACATTACGAATCGTTGCTGAGCAGTCAATTAAATGGAACTCGTTACTATATATCCACTTTCTTGACTATGATGAAGCTTTTGGCCCTGTGGATAAGAGAACCTTATAGAGGCTTCTTGGACACTATAGAGTAGTTGAGAAAATCGTCAACACGATCCAGAATTCATACGACGGACTACACTGCGACGTCGGATATGGGGGACAGCTGACAGACGCATTCGAATCGCGAACCAGAGTGAAATATGGGTGTCTGCCCTTCCTCTTCCTTTTTCCTTTATTGATTGTCTGGATTATGAAGACATTTACATGTGTGGGGGGAGTTTGGAACACAATGGACAACTTGGATGCAACTGGACGATTTGGAATTCACAGATGACCTAGCCGTTCTATTCCATGCATATGACCAAATGCAGGTGAAGACAATCGGTGTAGCTGCAGCAACCTCTGCATCAGTAGGCCTGAACATACACAGGGGGAAACGTAAGACCCTCAGACACAACACGGAGAACACCAACGAATCCAATCATACTTGATGGAGAAGCACTGGAAGAGGTGGTGACTTTCACGTACCTGGTCAGCATCATTGTTAAACAAGGAGAATCTAATGTAAATATTTGAGTACGAATTGGCAAAGCAGGGACCGCATTCCTACAGTTTGACAACACATGAAACTCAAAACAACTGTCAGTTAACATCACTGTCATTATTTTCGATGCAAACATCAAGATAGTTCTGCTATACGGAACGGAAACGTGGAGTACTACCACAATCATAATCAATGCTGTACAAATATTTATAAATAAATTTCTACGAAAGGTACTCAATATCCATTGACCGGATACTATTAACAATCGTCTACGAAGGATACTCAATTTCTGTTCGCCGGATGACATCAAATAGATGTACACATGTGTGTTAGAGACTTTTGGCGAGTCAATAGCCACTTCTTACCTTTTTACAATTTCAATTTTTGACAGGGAGATATAGGTTTTGCCCACGTTCATTTATGTTAAATAGGTCCTTTATAGAGTTCTGCTGGTTTTAATTGCATATGTACATGTGCAGAACCCTAACCAAATCATCCGGCAGACGGCTCACTGGACGTCGAACTGTTCACTGACTTATCATAGTCAACGAAAACCAACACAGCAATTAATTGCACCCCAAGAACTGGTCCATACTGTGATGGTCGCATCTTCTTCGTAATTAATTTAAGTGATACATTTCTCTAATAACTCTTTTTGTGTTTTACGGTCCTTAACGCAGCCATAGTGCCTTGCTAGGACGAAAGGTTAATTCATATTAGGTGCTTACTGCGAGGCGTGACTTCGGAGTTATCTGGTTCGTCACAACATTCCCATCTATTTTACGTAGGCGCCCAATTATCCGAATCATATCGTTTATGTTGGTGATCTACACATGCCTGAGCAGATTCAGGAGTTTTCGAAAAGCCGTACCTATAATAGGTTTCACAGCTGAAACGGTTGCCTAAGCTGTCATTCAGAACAGGGTAACCGTTTTTGGTACACCTGTTACAATAAAGACTGATATTAGAGCACAGTTTGAATCTAAACTATTCAACAACTTGTCTGAGTTCCTAGGCTCTAACTGAATACGTTGCACTGCATACCATCCTCAGGCTAATAAGATGATGGGACGTTTCTGCCGTCAGTTAAAGGCTGCCCTAATACCACATTCAAACCCCGATCCGTAGACAGAGTTCCTGCCATTAGTTATGTTGGGAATAAGAACGGCTATCAAAACTAACTCAGTATTCGGCAGCAGAACTAGCCTTCCGGAAGAATCTAATGTTGCCGGATGAGTTCCTCAATCCTCGTACTGATAGTAAAAACGCATAATTTAAAAATTTTCGTAGACTAACTACGGGACCAAATGTCCAAGCTTAAACCAATTACTACTCGTGGACAATTGCGAGCGACAAATGTAACTAAGGACCTAGGCAATTGTACGCATGTGTGGATAAGGTGTAACAAAGTAACCGCACCATTTATTCATCCGTTTGAAGCCCTTGCAAAGTTATTTCAAGAGAACTCAAATATTTCTTTGTACAAAAAAAACAGGAAAAACCGACTCAGTAAGTATTGATGGGCTAAAACCGACTTATCTAGATAAAGAACCATCACACGTGATATTAGGCTGTTTATCTGACAAAACAATCGCAGAATTGAGAAGTACCAATGAGAATTCTGCATAGGTGAATAAAAAGGTTTAGATGGGCACTAAGGGATATCCACGGATTTTGTTTTAGCTTGAAATGAAACCACATATCTACTAGAATTTCAGTTTATTAAATTTTGTGTTTATTCAAACATTAAGAAAATAGAATGATTTTCATACCGTTTTTTTAGCTATTACCGAAATGGTCGTAGTCTCAATCAACATACTACCCGCTTTTCTTCAGATCTTTTACTTTTAATGTATGAGTGTTGTATTCATACTGAGTACATAAACCATTTATTACTAAACAATCCGCTAAGTAATATACATCTAAAACATATAAGTATACGATCTTCGACTGAGATTTTTCCACTAATAGTAGAAGACAATGAGAACGTTTGCTAGAAGTGTCGAACAAAATCACTATGAATACTTAGTAAGACCCACACAATGAACACTCTCTATAACGTCGAATCTCGAAAACAATCCAGACGAGTTTCACTAGTGCACTAGTAATCTGTTATGGTTACAATACTTTATAACGTGCATCGTTTTATAATTATATAAACCAGACATATGCGTATTTTTATTGTTAAAATCACCCACAAACTCATTTTTGGTACAAGATATATTCACTGGTTTTATATGATACACTATTATTTAAAAGTGGTTTTTGGACAAAGCACTGTGGATTAAACAATAGCCAATATTTGTTAGTGGTTCTCATTTTTAAATTAGTGTTGCTTCTATACAGCATTAAGTTCCAGGCCTTTCATGTTCTACTCAATGGAGAAGGAACTACTGTGGAGAGCAACTGGAAGGGGATCAAAGAGGCAATCACTTCAACATATCATGAGATCTTGGGTCACAAGAAGCACCATCACAAGGAATGGATCACTGTTGATACACTGGATAAGATTCAAGAAAGGAGGAACAAGAAAGCAGCAATCAATACCAGCCGAACAGGAGCAGAAAAAGCCAAGGCACAAGCTGAATACACAGAAGTAAACAAACAAGTGTAAAGGAGCATCAGAACCGACAAACGTAAATATGTGGGAGATTTAGCAATGACGGCGGAAAAGGCTGCAAGAGAAGAAAACATGAGACAACTGTATCACACGACAAATAAACTCTCTGGAAATCGCCGCAAACCAGAACGACCAGTGAAAAGTAAGGAAGGCAAGGTAATCAACAATATTGAAGAACGATGAAACAGGTGGGTAGAACACTTCAAAGAACTCTTGAATGGACCAGCCCCACTGGACCCACCCAACATCGAAGCAGCACCCACGGACCTCTCAATCAATGTTGGCCCACCAACTATTGAATAAATCAACATGGCCATCAGACAAATCAAGAGTGCCAAAGCAGCGGGACCAGACAACATCCCAGCAGAGGCACTAAAAGCAGACGTAACGGCAACTGCAAGGATACTCCACATTCTCTTCAGTAAGATTTGGGATGAGGAACAAGTACCAACAGACTGGAAAGAAGGACTTCTGATCAAAATTCCGAAGAAAGGCGATCTCAACAACTGTGATAACTACAGGGGCATCATACTTCTCTCAATACCGGGAAAAGTCTTCAACAGGGTATTGTTAAACACGATGAAGGACTGCTTAGACGCCCAACTTCGAGACCAGCAGGCAGGATTCCGCAAGGATAGATCGTGTACAGACCAAATCGCAACTCTCACCCTTTCTCTTTCTCCTGGTGATCGACTGGATCATGAAGACGTCAACATCTGAAGGGGAGCACGGGATACAGTGGACATCTAGGATGCAGTTGGACGATCTGGACTTCGCAGATGATCTGGCCCTTCTATCCCAAACGCAACAACAGATGCAGGAGAAGACAAACAGTGTGGCAGCAGCCTCAGCAGCAGTAGGTCTCAATATACACAAAGGGAAAAGCAAGATTCTCCGATACAACACAGCATGCACCAATCCAATCACAATTAATGGACAAGATTTGGAAGATGTAAAATCTTTTACATATCTGAGCAGCATCATTGATGAACAGGGTGGATCTGACGCAGATATGAAGTCGCGGATCGGGAAAGCAAGAGCAGCATATTTACAACTGAAGAACATCTGGAACTCAACACAACTGTCTGTCAACCAACACCAAGGTCAGGATTTTCAATACAAATGTCAAGAGAGTTCTACTGTATGAGGCAGAAAACTGGAGAACTACGAAAGCCATCATCCAGAAAATACAGGTGTTTATTAACAATTATCTACGCAAAATACTTCAGATCCGTTGGCCGGTCAGTCTGTCAGTCAGTACCAACGTAGAACTTCGTACGTACGTACATC